GCAGCCAGCGGCGGGCTCTGCACACGGCACAGCCCCGCCCCGCGCTCTCAGGGCCCGCCCCGGGCTGCGTGAGGGGAAAGGCGGGGATGAGGAACAGCCCTGGAACGGGCCCGGCCCGAGCCGCCATTGAGCTCCCAACACAAACAAAGTTCTCCGCACCTCCCGGCCCGCCTTGCCCAGCCCTGGCTGCTGGGTGGCTCCGGCTCAGCGGGAAGCCCTGGAGCCTCACTTCTCCCACCTCTAATTAGGAGCATCAGTGCATTGCTTTGATTTCCCCCAAACAGGGAAAACAGCCCCAAACCCTGTGGACGAGAAAGAGGGAGAATTCTGGTAGAAAACAACCAAAATAGTTTGTCCCCAGCTTGGGAAGAGCCAGCCAAAGCGAAATGAGCCAAGACCCCATAGCAGTGCCTCTCTGCCGTCCCAGCTGAAGCCCTCGCTGGCTGCTCCAGGCTGGAGCGGCACACTGGGAGCACTGGGAAGGGGCCCCGGCTCGGGGCACAGCCCCCGGGGCAGCCCCACGGCCCCCACAGCAGCTCTAAGGCTCTGCCAGCCGGGATGGAGCCATGGTCAGTTCATCTTCCGTGGCTTTTCTCACTTCTCAGCGACAGGAGTCGTTCCCCTGCTGCACTCTGGGATCTCTCCCACCAGAGAGGTCTCCAGGAACTTCTCCAACCTGAGTCCATTCCATGGAAGCAGCCCCCTCACAGTGCTGCAGCGTGGGTCACTCTGCCACGGGGTCAGACCTTCCAGGACAGGCGGCTCCAGCGGGGGCCCCTCTGTCCACAGGTGTCCCCCAGGGTCACAGCCTCATCTCAGGCATTCCCCTGCTCAGGCATGGGCTTCTCCAGGGACTGTGGGGGGATCTCTGCATCCTCATGGATCTCTGCATCCAGCACCGCCATCTTTGGAGGCACCAGAACTAGGCAGAGCTGCACCTGACGCTCTTCTCACGTTCCCCACACACGTAGGGCCAATCCCCGCTGTGGATGTTCTGAGGTTTCTTCAGCTTGAAGCTCCACTTGAAGTCCTTCCCACATCCCAAGCACTTGTGGGGCTTCTCCCCACCATGAGGCTTCTCCCCCAGCTCTGAGCTCTGGCCGGGTCTCCGGCCACCTTCGTGGGACAGGGAGGGTCTTTCCCCCTCACAGCTCCCTGGGCTGGGTTTGCAGCCCCTCCTGCTGTGGGATCTTGGGGGCTTTTCCTCCCCTTTGGATTTCTTTGTGGAGCAGCTGCTCCAAATGGCCTCTTCCACGAGGTTCTGTGGCAGGGATTTGTTTTCCCTGGTCTCTGTCCACAGCTCAGTGCCTGCAGGAGGAAGGACAAGGAGAGGAAGAGACAGGGAGAAGGGAAAGGAAAAAGCAGAATGAGGGGAAGGTACAAGAAGGAACCAGAGAGGATGGAAAAGGTAAAGGAATGTAGATGGGTGAAAGGCAGAATGAAGAGAGGAAGGAGTTTGGAGAAAGAGAGGATGGGATTTGTCTCCATGCCAGAGGGATGGGGAAGGAGATCCCCCCAATCTGGCATTAGCAGCAGGGTTGTCCTGCAGCCAGGGGCAATGCTGGGCTGGGAGATAGAGCAGAGGAGAGGGGGGAAAAGGGCAGTGGCTTCCTCCTGACCTTCCTGGGGATCCCGGGGTACCTTCCTTTACCTCTAATCCTCCTTCTCCATCCGGACAAAGTTTGGGATTGACAAATCTTGGCTTGGGGAAAAAGCAAGGTGTGAGCACCTTGGGTTTTGTGAGAAATGAGCCTACCTCTTGAAAATTTTTAAAAGTTTAATAAGGGATAAAAGGGGATAAAAACAGCATTGGGTGCGTAGCCATAACCAGAAGCACATCAGTAACAACTCTTCTATATTTTTTCATTGCATTGGTCAAATACATATCCATAACATTAATACATATTCAAACATTGCTCTGAACTCGTTTATATGTTCCAGGAGTTCTTTAGCTTGTTTCAACCCCTGACCTGCCTTTTTAGAGTAGGAGCAGTAATTGTGGATTGTTGTTTTGAGGGTTGTGTGTGACTCCCTCACAACAGCCCCGTTCCATGCTCGCAGCAGGAGACAGGTACTGATAGCCCAAGGGTCAGTGGCACGGGTCCTTGTCACATCTGTTCCTTAAATGTTATCTGACCGTGCAGACAGTTTTAGCTACTTCCACAAGTACTTTAAATTAACATCAGCTATTTCAGAAATACATCTGAGTTATTCTCATTATTGTCAGTTAGTTACAAAAATAAAAGCATTTGTTGTTATATCACAGCTACTTCTGCCAAAGTTAACATTATATTGCACAACACATAACATACACCTTAATATTCTGTAAAAGCCAAAACTATAATATATGTTTATCACACTGTCCACAAGCTAAAATATCATCCATAAATGATGTCCTGAGGATATGAGCTACACAGGGGCCAGGGCATCGGCCACAGAAAGCTGACAAATTCTACTATATCAAAAGCAGATAAAAGTGATTACAAACTGTGCTATATCAAAATCATTGTGATTATAATAATTGGCAAAAGCCAGCACATAATAGCAAAGGGCAACAACAACATAGTTCTTTATCACAAACACAGGGCAGGTTTTTCCCTTGCATGGAGCACTTGGGCCTTCCCCGGGCCCCTTCTGCCCTCCCGCAGAACCAGAGGCATTTTCCAGCGCACACAGTTTGTAAGCAAGAGCCGGCTGCAGCCCAGAAGGCTCCAAGCGCCTCCTTCCAGGCTGACTCTGCAGATGCCGAGGCTGCTCTGGGCTCTGCCAGGCTCTGCTGGGGCTCAGCTCTGGGCGAGGCTGGGCCCGCTCTCCCCTCGCAGTGCTCCGGGCAGCTGAGTCACAGCGGGAGAAGGACAGGACACCTCAAGGGACTGGAGGTTTAACAGAGATTTTATTCAAATAACTGCCATAACAAACAGGCTGTCCTAACCTACTCTAACTAACTAACAGTGCTAACTAACATAACTAACTACTTCTCCTAACTACTATAATGAAAAGCTGGCCTCCAGGGCTTCATCTCCTCCTGCGCTGCTCCCTCAGTTGCTTTGCTGCAGTGATCAGAGGGGTCAGGCTGGAGAGAGGCTTGGCTGATGACAAAAATGGGTGCTGCCCAAGGGATAAAAAAGAAAGAAATGAACTGTTACTTTCCAGACTCAAGTTCCTCACAGGCTCTGTTGCAACGGGACAAAGGGGAATGGTTTGAAAGTCAAGAGAGGGAAGCGGGCTCAGATTAGATGTAAAGAAGAATTGCTGTAGCAGGAGAGTGGGGAAACACTGAGAGAGGGAGCCCAGAGATGTGGGAGGTGGCTCCTCCCTGGAAACATCCAGGCTCAGGTCAGGCAGGGCTCTGAGCCACCTGATGTGCTTGAAGATGTCCCCGCTCGTGGCGGGGCACCAGCTCCAGATGAGCTCGACAGGAGCCTGCCAAGCCAAAGCAGGCGAGGATTCTGCTGGCTTTGCGTGTGAAAAGCAGCGGGACTGGAGATGATGGGAGGGGGCCCCACAAGAAAAGCCCTCCCTGGCGCTGCCGTTTCCCCCGCAGCCGCTTGGCATTCACCTGCAGCAGCTCCTGGGCAGAGAAGCGCCGCTCCTCGTCCGGCTCCAGGCTGCACTCGAGGAAGTCCCGCAGCAGAGCCGACAGGCGCCTGGGCTCCTGCAGCTGCGGGCTCCCGTTCTGCCGGATCAGAGCGCGGGCCTGCAGGAAAAGCAAACACAGCGCTCTGACAGCTTCCTCCACACCCACAGGTGCTCACATCCAGCCCGCTTTCTCTGCCCCAGCTCCCCGGGCACTTTCCTCCCTGGCACAGATGCTGCTGCTCACAGCTCATTCTTCTGGGCCAGCCAAAAAACCCAAACCCTGGTGCAGCCACAGCCATTGCAACATCCAAATGATCTTGCCTTCAGAGCCGATTGCATTGGCTGACTTTGTCAGTAGGAACCTCCATCAGAAATAGCCCATTTTGCTTCTCCAAATACAGACACCAGCTTTACAGGCCATTTTCAAGAGTCAGTGTGGTCTGCCTGTGTTATTTCAAGGGATTCTTACATCAAATGCATCTCTGCAGTGCCACTGACACTCAAGTTAAAAGCATTCCTGATGCCCCATGCCAGAAACTGCCAGGCAAGGAACAGCAGGTTTGTGTGGCTGAAAGCTCAGGCTTGGTGACACAGAGAAAGTAAAAGGAAGGAAAGAAATATGTTAGAGTGTGGGGATGTTAAACAATCATCTTCATGTTTCAGTATAAGTTTCCCAGTGAGAAGAGCCAGGGGGAGTTCATCTCACAAAACCTCTTTTAGAAACTCCTCCAGAAATCTTGTTGGGTTTGGGTGTGGGTGTTGGGGTTGGTTTGGGGTTTTCTGCAAGACAACATTAGAGCTGATGCACTTGCTTCATGTATTTGGGTCATCCTCACAAGAGCTGCAACAACTTAAATGCCAAAGCAAATTGTTGCTGGAGGCTGCAGAATATTTGTCTGTGTTCAGGCTCAGGTGCTGTGGGAATTCCCTTTGCGATGTGCAGAAACCTCCAGCTGCTCCTCCCAGTGCAGGGTCACCCTGTGCTCACAGGCCTCTGCAAAGCCTGGAGAATTTGCCTCTTACCATGGCCCCCGTTTGCTGGAAGTAAGGAGGTTCTCCTTCCACCATCTCGATGGTCACAATGCCAAAGGACCAGATGTCCACCTTGGGGCCGTAAGGAGAACTGGTCACAACTTCTGGGGCCATCCAGTGAGCAGTGCCCACCATGGAGCTGCACTGGTCCTGCTCAGGGCTGAGCTGAGCGCAGAGGCCAAAATCAGCTGAGGACAGAAACAAGCACTGTCAAAGGCAGCTGCAATGAGGAAACCAAGCACAAAGATTCCCCACTCTCAGTCTGGGAATGCAGTGCTGAATCCAGCTGGAAACATCTTCAGGGCTGTAGCCAAGGAAAGATGGAACTGGACCCTTAAAGAAGCCCTCAGCTTTCATGCTTGGCTTTACTGATTTCCTTTGAAGCTTTAGATTGCAACTCCTGCCCCTCTGGGAGGGCCATACCCAGAGCAAAGGCACTCCTGACAGCCTGCTCCTCTCCTGAGCTCTCTGCACGGGGCAGCCGCTCTCAGCTGGCAGCAGGGGCCGGGCAGTGCCACCAGCAGCACTTGTGGGGCTCTGGCCCTCACTGGGAAGCAGCCCCACAGCCGCACCCCGGGAGCGCCGTGCCTGGCCAGGAACACCCACCCAGCTTGACAGAGCCGTCCATTCCCAGAAGGATGTTGGAGCTCTTCAGATCTCTGTGGATCACCCGGATGGAATGGAGGAAATCCAGGCCCTGCAGACACTGAGAGACAACAAGAAACACGAGGGGAAAAAATCAGAGGCCGGAATATATCACACAAGAAAGGACAGTTTAGAATTCTGCCAGCAGCAACTTTGCTGTGACAGCCCAGGAGTGCAGTGCAGACAAGCTCCAGGCAAAAGGTTCAAGGCAAAGCTGAGAGCAGCAAATCAGATCCAAAAAAGACAGAGAGTACCACAACAGCAGGAAAGAAGACAAGAACAGAGTAGAAATGCAGTGATATTTGCAGGCCATTCACTTCAGAGGCTCTTTCCTCTCCAGCTCATAAAAACAACACAGAAACAAAGGCCTGAGCATGGAGCCACTCTGCTCTCACAGCCTCTTTGGAAGGACCATGGTGTCCCAGCCATGGGAAGCACAAGCAGGATCCCTCACCTCCTGACTGACAGCTGCCATCTCTCCTTCAGCCATGCGTGTCTGTCTGACAACGTCCTGCAAAGTTCCTCCATCCATGTATTCCATCACCAGCCAGAGATCTCCATCAACAAGGAAGCTGGAAGAGGAGAACAATGGCACAGAGATGAATGTGCATTGCTCAGTTCCCCCAGGGAAAAGCCCAGAGTGGAGTTTTGTTCCCAGGTCACTTGTCAATGAGGACAGAATCAGATGGAGAGACATTCCTGCCAGGCTGCACAGGCCTTGGAATCTGCACAGTCTAAAGGAGAAGGAGGCACCCGGGAGAAAGGAGAGGCCTTAGATGGCAAGCAGGTGAAAAATGCACTTTAGCAACAGCCCAGCTCAATGTGGAACCACAACACTTGTCCCCAGCTGCTTCAGCATCTGAACTCATCAGTTCCACCATTCCCTCTGGAACAAGGCAACACAACTTCCAGAGTTATCCAGGGGAGGAGGCCGTGCAGCACTTGGGGCAAAAGCAGTCAAATGCTTGGAAAACCTTGCACAAAGTCCCTTCAGAAATAGGCAAGGCCATGGAAAAATGGGCAAATGAGGCATTTCTGGAAACAAGAACCTGGTCTTCTGCCTGGAACAGAACCTGGTCTTCCAGCACTGCAGCAATGGGACAGGGCTGGGAAGAAGAAGCCAAGGAAAATAATTTCTACCAGGGTTTATCAGCACTTGCTGTAAAACACAGCAAATGGGGTCAACTTGAAGAAAAAGCCAAAGCAAAGCAACAAAAGCACATGGAAGGAGTGAAGTGCCAGGCTGTTGTTCTGGGAAGATATGGCCGGGTCAGGCATTTTCAGAACAGGCTACAGACTGGGGATGCCAGGAAAGATGAACGCAGGGCCCGTGCACGGGAGAAGACCTGAAGCACTCACCTGTCCAGAGAGTTGACAATGTTGGGGTTCTTCTTGTCCTTCAGGACCACGACCTCATTCACAGCTCGTTCCCTGTTGTGCCCTCTGAGGCTCATTTTCTTGATGGCCACCTGAAGGGACATTGCAGACCTTTAACTGGAGCAGTCTGTGGCAGGAGGCCACAGCAAACACGGAGCGAGTCTTTTTGGAGCGAGCGAGCCGGGCTGTGCCAAACTGCCTTGGGATGGGACACCAGAGCTCAGCAAGTGCCATTCCCACAGCCCATTGCTCTGCTCGCTGGGGCTGTTACAGGACTCATGGCCAGAGACATTTGGCTCTGTAAGCTCTGCAGAAATGCTCCCTCAGCTGTCAGCCTCCAAGCTCTAACAACATTCTCTGCACCTACAGTCTTCTCAAATGGCCTCAGCACTCTTAGGATTATTATTCCAACACATTTTGCAAGCAGGAGGTAATTCTGTTTCTGTGCACACAGAGCAAAACAGCGGGAACCCTTTAGCAATTCTATGGCATTTGGCCAGGATTTCAAATGTCCCTGCCCTGTTTGGGATAGCACAACAAAGCAAACGTGCACATCCATTGCTCAGATAATCCCTGTCCCAGCTGCCACTGACACCAGACCCAAACACAGCTGCAGGGTTTAGGAGAGAGCTTTGCTCTGCACATCCATCTTCTCATTTCTCTCCTGTCTCTGTGGGAACAGCTGCAGTAGGACTAAAACCCCAAACTGAGCCCAAGCAGGATCTCTCCTTAATTAGGCCTTGAGGTATCCTGATGAAACTCAGGATGATAAAACTGCTAAACAGTGTTCCTGTCCGAGGCTGGGATGAAGGTAAATTGGGCCTCAGTCTCCAGCAGCTGATGCATTCACACTTTTAGACATGAAGACCAGGCCAGTGTGTCCTGCTCTGACAGACACCGCTGCCCTCCTTGCCTTCCTTTGGGCACTTGAGAAGGACCAAGTCTGTCCCAGCTGTGCTCTGCAGGCTGACCCTGCTCTGCCTTCAGAGGAGCAGCCTGTGCAGGAAAGCTCTGCTGGGCCCCACAGCTCCAGCCACAGCTCCCAGCAGAGGGGAAAGCCCTCGAGAGATGCCAGACGTGCTGGGCGTGTTGACACTGACCTCTCCTCCCGTGGCCCTGTCGAGTCCTTTGGAAACGGTTCCAAAAGCCCTGGAGACAAAACAGCAGAGAAGAAAGAAGCAGCGCTTTAGGCCCTGGCAGTGAAAGGCAGCCCAGACAGGAGATCTCTGCTGCCTGCAGCGTTCACAAAACACCCGAGTGCATCCACCCTTCAAACAACAGCACAGCAGCCACCAGCCCTCTGCCATGCAAGGTGCCTTCTGACCACAGTTATCAATTCTGATCAGCACTGAGAGGCAGCAGCATCGTACCCCAGTGTCTGAAGGGGTTTGGAGCTCTCCTGACTTCTCACTGCATCCTGCACCAGCAAAATACCTGGGCCCTGCTTGTGCAGAAGTAACTGCCTTGCACTTACCCTTGGCCAATCTGCTCCAGTTCCAGGTATTTCTCGGCAGGCTCCCCCACGCTCACGGTGTTCCCTGAAAGAAACCAGGTGGAAGATGCTCCCTCTCAGATGAGAGCCAGAATGCAGCCCCACTCCCTGGGGCCGGGAGCCCCTTGCTCTCAGCTGGGGAAGGACAATAAATGACCCTGTGCCATTCAGCTGCAGAGCAACCCTGGGTGCAGCTGATGCTGAGACACACACACAGCACCCTGCTCTGGCACACAGGAACAGAGCAGACGTACTCAGCTGCATCAGGCTCCACTCCCCGCTCCCCTCTGGCTGCAGGGCTGTGCTGCTGTCAGAATGTTCAGCCCAGGATCCTGCAGCACAGGGAGCTTCGGTGTCCTCTTCAGGAGCAGAGGGAAGTTCTCCATCCTCTTCCCAAAGCAGTGCAGGTTCCTCATCCTCTTCCCAAAATGCTGCTGGTTCACCCTCCTCTTCCCAAGCCACAGGACGTTCTCTGTCCTCATCCCACACCGGGAGATTGCTGTCATCCTCGTCCCATGCCATGGGAGCTTGGCCATGCTCATCCCACACCAGGGGACATCCACCGTCCTCGTCCCCCACCGGGAGATGTCCACTGTCCTTGTCACACACCGCGGGAGCCTCGCCGTTGTATTCCCAAACCGCGGGGTGTTCTCCCTCGTCTCCCAGAACAGCGGGAAGTTCACTGCTCTCTTCCTCCTCTTTGGCCTCCTCTTTGCAAGCAGAGGGAGCCAGAGGAGGTGCTGATGCTGCTTTGGTGCCCTGTGGACAGACGGGAGCGTGAGGGACGAGAAGTTCTATCTCAGTTATCACCTTCTTTATCCTCAGCTACACATCCAGCTGCACTAAGCAGAAATAGGGTTCAGAGCTGTTCAAACTAACAATGGGCTAAAGCCGACATTGCCACTTATTGTTGGGAATTCCATATTCCAGCATGCCTAAAGCCAGCAAGCAATCTTCTGCCTGCAAAACCAGTCCTGCAGCTCTTCAAAAGCTCTTCAGCAGAAACAGAGAAAACTGCCAGGGATCTCTTTGCTGCTGCTGCTGCTGCTGCTGCAAAGACACTGACAGGAACTTTCCTTCAGCCTCCCAGGCTGGCACTCGGCTGCCACACGCCGAGCTCACAACTTGCTGCACAATTCTGAACACCAAAGCTTCCTTTGCCACTCACCGAAGGAGGAGCTGCTGGGGATCCACGCGTGAGGTGCCCTGCAACGGGAGAGGGAACGTGAACCAGATGTTGTTAGGAAAAAACTGCCTGTGGTGGGAAATGAGCAAGGCAAGCCCGAGAGAGCATTTTGCTTTCACAGCATCCCTCCAGGAGCCACAGGCCCTTCACACAGCAAGCAAGAGAGCAGCACAAAATACTGGGCTGTGTCAGCTCTTGGCTGGAGCAGCAAACGGAGGGAGTTCCAGGCTCCGCTGCCACAGACTCCCCGCTTGAGGGAACAGAACCCCCCCAGGCCTCATTGCAAATGCTGTGCACGCCCCGCTGGCTGCAGACACCCCCTTTTTCAGCTGCAGCTGCTGGCAGGAGCTCTCCCAAACCAACCCTGTCCTCATGGCAATTTGGTCACAGAGTCAACTCCGTTCCAGTGGAAGAACAGAAAGCACACAGCAAGCCCAAAGCCACAGAGGCTGCACCGAGGGAAAACCTCAACTTACGTGCCAAGTGGGTTAAAAAATACCCCGAATAAGCCACAGAGAACAGAGTGCCAACTGCAGCAACCACTTGCTGCATCATTTTGGCTGCGCTGCACACGTCTGCAGACTGTACCCCTGCAAGCACAGAAGGACACCCGTCAGGGGCTGGGCTGGCTGCTGAGAATGCCTCGGGCAGGAGGATCCTCTGGCAACGAGCAGGCGCCCAGAGCCGCTCTGGACACTGAGGCCTCCGTGTCCCACAGCAACGGGAACACCACGGGGACGTGGCAACGCTCCTGTGACACCACAGCAGCCGCTCACCCAAAAACCGCCTGGAAGCTTCTCCTGTGTCACAAAGGAGCACAAAGAATCCTCCCAGGGCACGGCCTATTGCCCAAAGGATCCAAGAGGAACTCTGAAAATGCAGCAAACAAGGACACCCCATAGCCCAGCCTGAGCACTGAGGAGGAACGAGGACAGCACCAAACCAGAGCAAACACGACCTGTAGTCACTGATACTGCTGAATAAAACCAGCAAGGCTTGTTCCATCTGGAATCTTTGTTCTAGTTCTAAAAACAAGCAAGGTTCTCCACTGTAAATATACAGAAGGCAGGAACTGGGGAGGAGGTGGGATTAGGAAGGAGGAGGAGCAGGAGGAGGGAGAAAGGAAAAGGAGGAGCAGGAACAGGAATAGAAGGAGAAGCTGGAGGTTCCAGTGCCCCCTGTGTCTGCAGCACCCCCGGCCACGGGCCCATCGCCCCCACCTCATCCTGCAGGTGAGCAGGGAGGGGGAGCTGGTCCCAAATCTGTCAGGGGGACCCTGAGAGGGTCCTTTTATTAGGGTGTGTTTGGAACTTGCAGATTGCGGAACTGAGCCCCAAATATTGTCTGGCGTCCCTGGGAGGTTTTTATCCTCTGTGTGTGTAGGTTTGGATCTTGCAGGACCCC